CTGCAAGTGCACACAACCATGCTGGGCTATTTTCCATATTTTTAGTAGTGATGGGTTTTCACCATGTTGCCCAGACTGGTCTGGAACTCCTGGGCTCAAGTAATCCTCCTGACTTGGCCTCCCAAAGTGTTGGGATTACAGGTGTGAGCCACTGTGCCCAGCCATGAGAGAAATTTTATATGTGTAAATTTGGAAAATACCACTACTCTTTGATTCCGTAGATCTGCCACCTTCGTCTGGTGTTCTATTGGAGCAGTATGGGAAATCATGACTCTTAAGGAATGTTGACAGCTAAAACTTTGCTTGGATGTGTTTTAGAGAATTTCACAGTGATTTGAAAAGAACATTCTCTGTGAGGTGCTTTTTAAAACCATTATACAACCATTATTTTGATGTTGTGGATATTATTGTTTCTTGCATAATTTTTCTCAACAAAAGAATAAGGTCATTAAATGTATATATGTTTATAAACTAAGGAAGTCAAGTAATGTGAGCACAAACCATCCAAGGAATTTGCTACTGATGAAGTCTTGGCCTCTAAATTGCTCTTTACCAAGGAGCTTCACATATGGGAAGGATCAGAAATTCGATGGCACGGAATCAAAGACACTCTTCCTGCTTCAGGAGCACATATAGATAAGTACAGACATTGCAGTTTTCTGTTAGATGATTCTTAGTGACCAAATCTCTGTCTAGGACCCAGATACCTTATTTACTCAAAATAGTGGATGGAAAATAAATGATATACATGTATGCATAACATTTTCATATTTCCCTGAGTTTTTTCTTTCTCGTATCATATTTAAAACTCATGCCAGCCTTGTGAAGAAGGCTGCCATTTTTTTTTTTCTGATGTACAAATGCGGAAAAAGTGACTAGATAGGATTTCTATTGATTAGTAATATAGTCATGCATTTTGATCCTTGAGATATTGTTCTTTCCCCCCCCGACAATGTTTAGTGACTTGATCTGGAATGCCATCCTCTCCTTTCAGGTTTTGACTTGATCTTTAAAATTATGCTCAAAATTCTTCCCCAAGAGGCTGTTTCAGACAAAGCCCAGATGGTTTTTGCTGGTTCAAGCCTCCCGGCAATTTATTTCCAGTATTTTCTATCTATTCTTTCCAGTATCTATTATTTATCATATTCCAGTATGAACGTGGATTATGATTTATTGTGTTGACTTATAGAATTTGCTTTATTGTACTGATTTTCTATTTGTCTCCCTTTCTTATTTTATGTAAATTATTATAAATAGTACTACTCCTGACTTATAGACATTTACAATCTATTTTTCATAACTTCCAAATAACTAGAGAATCGTAGTTCCAAACTTCTGTGTACATAAGAATAACCTAGGGAAGTTATTAAAAATAGACTTCTCAGTGCTTTCCCCATAGGTTCTACTTCTGTCGGGGAGAGGAGTTGGGGGGAGGTCCAGGAATCTGCATTTTCAATAAGCACCCCAGAGAATGCTGATGCACGTGATCCAGTAACACACTTTCAGAAACTTTGCTGTTGGAGAATTAAAAATGTGATTGTTATCCTCTGCTTATATGTATTGTGTCAATCCTCTGCTCAGTGGGGGAAACAGAGGTATAAAATAAAATGACTGAGTTCTTGCTCTCTTGGTGTTGACAAACTTTCAGGGGAGAAAGAGATACCGTCTGCCACGTCAGACAGTGTGTGATGATAGCTGCGAGTGGTGTGGACACTAAATTCAATAGAAACACAAAGAAGGGAGGCATCACTTCTGACTGGATTGTCATGCTTCATAAAAGATGGGGGGTTGAAGAAAAAAAGTTTCAAAAAGATGGAAAAAAAGTGGATTATTTCAAGACGTTGGACCAGCGAAGACTAAGTGTTGAGGATGCATAACTGCTTTTAGGGGATCAGTATGTGGAATGATGTGCTTGAACTAAAAAGAGTTTGTGTAGGCACATGGAGAAATTTACACCTGGAAAGACAGGAGTCAGATTGCAGAGAGCCTTGAATTTGGACTCTATTCTGCAGGTACTGGATGGTTCTTCAAACCTGCAGATAAGATAAAAGTGATCTTAAAAAGACTGATCTGGCAGTGAGTTTGACAGCCCTGAGCTACGTTTGGTGGTCTTTGTATACATTGGGAGAAAGGCCAGTTGTGAAAAGTAGATTTAGCATGATCTGGAGCTTGACTAGATGAGAAAGAGAAAAGCGTCAGAAATGCTGCTGAAGTTTGAACCTCATTGACTGGGGGGGATTGTGTACAATTTCACCACCCAGTGAATCTGAAGGAGGAAATGTTTTGAGGATACTATGTTTGGTTCTAGGTCTAGCATTCAACTTCCTACCAAATTTGGAAATCTTTTGTACATATCCACCAGGTAGCTTCTTCCAATATACGACAGCTATTTTTATTATGTCGAAGGGAAAAGGTCTGGAGCTCGAAGGAGTGGATTACAGATTTGGGTCCACTGGCGCAAAGGGAGACAGACTGTTCAGATTAATAATTATTAACGGCCAGTGTATGGAAAGCATTGCACAAGAAACTAAGATGACCAGTCCTTGTCCTTAAGAAATTCAAAATCAGGCCGGGCGCGGTGGCTCACGCCTATAATCCCAGCACTTTGGGAGGCCGAGGCAGGTGGATCACGAGGTCAAGAGATCGAGACCATCCTGGTCAACATGGTGAAACCCCGTCTCTACTAAAACTACAAAAAATTAGCTGGGCATGGTGGTGCGTGCCTGTAATCCCAGCTACTCAGGAGGCTGAGGCAGGAGAATTGCCTGAACGCAGGAGGCGGAGGTTGCGGTGAGCAGAGATCGCGCCATTGCACTCCAGCCTGGGTAACAAGGCACACGCCCCTAAGATGACCAGTCCTTGTCCTTAAGAAATTCAAAATCTAGACGGAATTTCCAAGAAAGAGATCCCGGTAAGAACACATGGCAAACCTCCAGATCCACACACCACTGACTAATGAATTTGTACTCTTCTGGTTGGAGTAGTTGAGGGCCTTTGGTTCAAGGAAGAGTGAAAATTAGCAGAAGTAAATTGGGAATGAGCAACTTCTTTTTAGAGGGCGTGGACTTGCAGAACTCTTTGAAGCAGTAGATGCTAGACTGCCCAAACCCCACGCGAAAGTAGCTCTCTGGAGTTGTGGAGTCCAAACCACCGAAGAGCTACAAATTTATTCCGCAACTACCAATTACGCGGTTTGGGGCCAGTGAGGAGGCAAGACCCGCCCAGGTGTCTAGTACCTCGCAACGATTGGACGAGCTCACCTCCTTGCCTTCCCCAGGGCTTCCTTGCCCCTCAGTCACACTACTAGTTCACCACCCGACCTTTGCTGCGCCCTCTTTCAGTAGCGTAACACCTGGCGCTCCTTCGCGCCCCAGCCCTCCAGCGCCCCAGCAGTGGCTTCAGTTCCTTACTGGCCAGCAGAGAGGAGAGGGAAGGGAAGAGGCTATTTTGCCCTCTGAACAACCCCTCTCAAATTTCCCGGTCTTCTCGCAGACAGTCAGGAAAGCAATGACAGCCTGGAGCTGTCGCGCATGAGCGCAAAAGTGCCCGCTGATGGAGGGGCGCTTCCCCTCCTTCCCAGGAGATTTGCCACATTGTTGTGACGCAGGGGCACCCCGCTCGCCACCTTCACTTACGATTGGCTATGGCCGAAGCCCGTCACACAGCCCGCCCCATTCCTCTGTCTCAAGAGGCTGCACCTCACGCCGTCGCTGCCGCTTAGCTGTGCGATTGGCTAAGAGGGCTGACATGCTTTCGCGACCCCTCCTCCGCTGCTGCCCCGGGAGGCGGGCGGGACCCCGCGGAAGTTGTCAGTCAAACTCCTCCCTCCTCGCCCCCCGCGAGGCCCCTCCCTGGGCCGCGCGCCCTGGCGCGCGCACACGCGCACACACTCGCCGCTCGCCTGTACCAACCACCTTTTCAAGTAGTAGCGGTGGCTCGCCGGGGGCTCTCCGTGGGCGGCCGACGGGCGCGTGGGGGAGGGGGTTCGGTCCGCCCACCGCGGCAAGGAGCGAGTGTGTGCACGCCGAGGGCCGGGGCGACGGTACAGCGCCCCGGGCAATGAAGGGCCGGCGCTGACCAGGAAGAAGGGGGCACCGCGGCGCGACTCCGAGAGGACCCGCGATGGCAGCGCCCCGGGAGGAGGCTCCAGGCAGGGCTGACTGCGCCGGCAGCAGTCGCTGAGGTGCTGGCCGGCCGGCCGGCTGGCGACCGGGGCAGAAGCGACGAGAGGCGCGCTGGGCGCCCGCAGCCCCGCGTCCTCGCCTCAGTTGTCTAAACTTCAGGCTCTCTTCCACCCGCCCTGCGCGCCTGGAGTCAACAACTTCTTCACCCCCCTTCGCCCCCGCCCTTCCCTCCGTCAACCCCGGGAGCTCGCCGCGCACCGGGGACCAGGAACCTCCGGCGCTGAGATGTGGCCGTGAGGCGTTGGCGGGCGGCGAGGAGAAGCTCGGCGGCGTCCCGGGGCCGGAGGGCGGTGGGGCCGGGGCGCAGGGGCGCGAGCACCCCGCGCCTCTCCCCCGCCTCCTCCTGCCGTCTCCGCCGCTGCCCGTGCCTTGCAAGCAGCAGCCGGAGCTGCCAAGCGCCAGGACCGCGGAGATGTCGTCGTCGTCGCCGCCAGCGGGGGCTGCCAGCGCCGCCATCTCGGCCTCGGAGAAAGTGGACGGCTTTACCCGGAAATCGGTCCGCAAGGCGCAGAGGCAGAAGCGCTCCCAGGGCTCGTCGCAGTTCCGCAGCCAGGGCAGCCAGGCAGAGCTGCACCCGCTGCCCCAGCTCAAAGGTAACCTCCGAGGGCTAAGCCCCGGGAGCGAGCGCAGGGGCTGGCAATGCTCGCCTCTGCGCCAGCAGAGCCATTTCCTCCTGGGCTTGGTTCTCCTGCTCAGCTGGGACTCGTAGTGTGTGAGCCGAGTTCCCCAGGATACCTTGGCGTCCCCTCACCCCCTCCTCCTTTCAGACAGGTTTTCTGTGAAGTCTTGGCTCTTTCCTTCTAATTCTCACTCGCACTCTTCCCATCCTAGCGGAGGCCAACACCCCTCCCCACCTGCGCGCTTGCTTAACCTGCACTTCTTATCTTGCGTCCCGCGAGGTAGAGACCTTCAGGTCAAACCTTCTTCCTCTAGGCTTGCCCTTTCCCGGTCTTGCTTTAAAAACTGCACGAACCTTCCCCGACCTTCACTTTCCCGAGTGTCACCTCCTCTGTTCGGCCACTTTTAGCTAGTCCTTTACTTTTCCAATTATAAAGCTGTCTGCATCCACCCTTTTCTCAACTCCACTTTCCATTGATTGCCTCCAAGAGTCATCAGACCAGGAATCCGAATGCAAACAACGGTTAAGAGTTAGCTGACCTTTAGATGTATTTATAAAGAGCAAGCCTAAAAATTTGACCAGTGTAGTATCTTATTCACTGGATCGTTAGGTTTAAATGTTATTTTTTAGCTCAAAGAATAGAAAGATTTAAAATATTCTGTTGTCTGAGACGATACACGTGGTCTCTTTGGGAATAATAAAGGAGTAGGTAGTGTTGCTTTGCAATCGAATGGGAACTTAGTTTGCCAGGCAGTGATTCCAGGGACTTTGTAGGTTTGTACAGGAATTCAAATTGGTATCCGTGCCTAATGCCTTGCAGGAGAACTTGGCACTCTTTTTGACTCACTTTTCCCACTAGATTTAGAGGATTTTCGGTGTTATTTCCTGGTGTTCTAGTTTATTCGTTGTGTATTACTAATTTTTAATTTTATAATTTTAATATCATTCCTTTTTATGAGATAGAAATGATGACGGAACAAGATGATAATGCTCCTACATATTTAAGTAAAATTTACAACCTGACGGAAATCCCTATCATCTTGTTTTGCAAGGCCGGGAAACTAAAGGTTCATACTAAAATAGATAAATGTTCAGCAGATTTTTCAGTTCATTTGAAAAAGCTCCAGCATCCCCTCCAAGGCCAGTCTGGTTCTGATTTGTCTTTGGGCCTGTGAATCCAGCCTTAGTTTGGCAAGGAGTCTAAAGAAAACCCCAGATCAAATCATAGTTGACCTACAACAGCTCCAGAACCCTGTTCAGACCCTACCTGTCCCTGACCCTCGGGGTGCTTCTAAATCATGACATCTCACAGTTAGAATCAAATTGGCTTTTGAGATAGGATTAGTCTGTACAATCGAATTTATCATTTAATTGCTCTTTAGCATACAACAGTTGTTAAAATTTACATAGCAAAATGGTAGACTATAATGATAGGCATTGCCAAGACTTTAATTCTTGAATGATGTCATAGCTATAAAAGAATATCATCTTTGGTATTCATAGATTTAAAATTTTACACTTATTTAGAACATCATAGATTTTTTTATACTACTGATTTTTTTTTCCCGTTAAATTGTCAAACTGTAGTTTGAAGTTTTGGTGCTTGATTTGCTTTTTAGTAAGATATTCTAGTTTCTTAGTATTGTACTTCTTAATATTATACTTCTATTTAATAAAAATAATTGAATATTAAATATTTGGTTTCAAGCCAGGAGATGCAGCTTTGATACATTTTGCTTTTATTTTATTTTTATTTTTGAGACAGAGTTTCCCTCTTATTGCCCAGGCTGGAGTGCAATGATGTGATCTTGGCTCCCTGCTCACTACAACCTTCGCCCTCCCAGGTTCAAGCAGTTCGCCTGCCTCAGCCTCCCAAGTAGCTGGGATTATAGGCTTGGCCACCAGACCTGCCTAATTTTGTATTTTTAGTTGAGATGGGTTTCACCATGTTGGTCAGGCTAGTTTCGAACTCCTGACCTCAGGTGATTCACCCACCTCGGCCTCCCAAAGTGCAGGGATTACAGGCATGAGCCACAGAGCCATGTTGCCCAGCCATGTTTTTCTTTTAAAAGACTGACAAAAATATGCATAGAGTCAGTAGCCATCTAAGTTATATGATGTAGGATTCAACAAGTTGAGGTGCCATATAGTATTTGGTTCCTAGTACAGAAAAAAGTAAATTGGAGCTTTACATTAATTGTAGATGTTTGCATGAAAGTACAGTATTCACCATAAGGAAAATTATGTATTCAGGATAAATTTGTGCTAATTTAATTGAGGAAATAAGACCCTTACATGGATTACAAACTAATAGGAACAGCTTTGTTTTACCCCAGATCCCATTCTTGAAAGTGATTTTTTAAAAAAATTCAGTTCCTTCAGTTGGAACTTTGGCAGTGTACTTGATACCACAGTGTTGTGTTTTTTCTGCCAGTGGTAGTTTTTTCCATGTGTGGCCTTCACAAAAACAGTGGAAAGCCCTTTAGTATGCGTATGAAAGATAATTTTCTTCCTTCTCTGAAATATCTTACTGTGGAGTGATTCAGATAGCCATGGACTCCAATACTTTTAAGTGTTTATACCAACCTGCTTATGTTACACTGTGACCACATGGGTCTGAACTGGAAAGGTGCCAACTAGTTTTCCTTGAAGCATAGTAAGCCTTAACAAAATAATCCAACTTTTTCACCTGTAAGTAGTTTATTTGTGCAAAATTATTTAGTAAGTGGGTTGTAGGATTTTAATGGCAAAATGTTCAGAATAAATTGTTTTATAATTGGAAGTATTTAATAAGCCTTGTTAGAAGACTTTTTAGTCTATTTAACCTATTTTGTTTAAGACTCTGGAAGGATTGGTTTGGTAAAGTAGTTGATGCCTTACGTTTATATAACATTTTAGCATTTTAAAGTTATTTTACCATAAAATTTTTTAAAATTATCAAACAGTATTGTTCATACCAAGTGAAACAATCCAAAGATATGTAACCCTTAATTCCTGTGTATCTTCTGCTTTTTCACCTATACTAAAGTTAATACTTTTTCACCTATACTAAGGTTTGACAATCCATGGCTCAATGTATTTTTACAAACATCATATTCATTGGATTATCCTTGCAACTTTTTGCAAGATCAGTATTCCCATTTTATTGATGAGAAAGTTGAGGCCTAAAAAGAATGAATAATTTCAGGCCTGTGATTACTTACCTGGATGATGTTGCAACTGACACTGGGACCTAGGTCAAATGATTTTGGTATTTGTGCTGTTAACCTGTTTTACGTAAATTTGAAGCAGTGTGATATAGCTGGGTCTCTGGGGTTAGTCCTGGGTTAAAGGTAAATTTTTAATCTTTCTAAGTAGTTTTTCTTATCTGTAAAATGGGGATAATACCTTCAATCTCCCCAGGCCTGTGGGGATTAAGGGAAATAATTGAAGTGCCTAAAAATAGTCAAAGAATGTTAGTTCCCATTCTCTTAAATATTTGAAAATCCAGATTAAAAATATTTTTAAATGAAGGATTATTAATAGGATTACTTAAATAGTAAACTTTCCTAGTGTATTTAAAGTATGATTTTATTTATAATCAGTTTTCAGATATGATTTATGTGAAGTGAAGTGCAGCTGTAACATCTTTCAGCATGAGTGTAGAAATGGAAACAGGGTTAAGTCAGCCTCTTTAAAATATTAAAAGCTATGGTAAGACTTTTTTACCAAGCAAAGAAACCAAGCAAAGAAACCAAACTAAGCAGTAGAATTGCATAGATGTGCATTCCTCATAGGAGACAGCCAGGAAATAAATAGCAAGATCAGACTGAAACTGGCTTTGAGATTGAAATCCCCTTCGGAAGAGGTAAAACTTTCCCAAGTAGCACTCAGATTCTTTGTTGGTCCATTCTTAGCAGCTGGGTCCCACTGAAGGTATTGAAGCTAGTAATAGTGGTGTTGATTGCAGTGCCTCCGTATAGGGGGAGAAATGTGTGTGTTCTAGAATAGGTGATCTAAGATAATTGCGGAACAAGAACACTGACATTATCTTAAGTTTTATAACTAAACCTTTTTGTGGAGAGAAAACAGTACTACTCACTCAACTTTTAAGGTTTATAGGACTTCTCAAAGTTACTATCAATTCCATCTAAACACAATTGGGATGGCACTAGAGGAGAGTTCAAATTCATCTGAAGTTAAGAAAATTGTTTACAAAGGGATAGAACATTTTAGTAATTTTAGGACTATTTTCTGAGAAGTATTGTCCTATCTCTTATGGAATATTAATTTTTAAAAAATTAAAACATTTTTAGGATATACTTAAGATAAATTGCTAAATAAAGTGTTCACTGCTAGTTCTCACATAAAGGAAAAACTTTTCTATTTGAACCTATTTTAAGATCTTTAGAATTCTTGTTTAGGATCATCTCTTCCTTCCCTTTATTACCTTGTCTGATTGTTAATTGTGGATTATTTTATGTGTGGATTATTTTAGGAAGTGTCTGAGTAAAGTGCTAATCCAATAAAATGTATTTGGTAAAATAGTGCAACCATTGTAGTATGTTACTATCATATAAACAGTAGATTTGTCTTCCTGCATCAGTGATGACTCATTGCTTTCAACCTCAGTTTAGCCATTTTCACTTGCAAGAATAACATTTTTCCCTTGATAAAATCACAAAGATGAGTTAGTCTTTAAGGCGTTACTGCTGCTTTGGATTTCAAAGAGGTTTACTAACAAAAATAACACATTTAGATTTTTGTGCTTCATTTTTAAAAGCTTTTTATATTGTATAAAGCTGGGGATAAAGACTAGTTTGTTTTTATGTGTTTAGCATTGTGGTTCCCAATCCTGGCTATACCTGGTTTGTTTTTGTTTTTTTGAGACTGCATCTCGCTCTGTCACCCAGGCTGGAGTGCAGTGGTGCCGTCTCTTGGCTCACTGCAACCTCTGTGTGACTCCCAGGTTCAACTGATTCTCTTGCACGCAGTGCAACGCCAGCTAATTTTTGTATTTTTAGTAGAGATGGGGTTTCACCACAGCTGATCAGGCTGGTTTTGAACTCTAACCTCAGGTGATCTCCCTGTGTTGGCCTCTCAAAGTGCTGGGATTACTGGCGCGAGCCACCGTGCCTATACCTGGAGATTTTGAAACAAAACAAAACAAAATCAATACCTGGGCACATCCCCAAGAGATGTAAATTAATTGGCCTAAGGTAAAATCCAGTTAGAGTATTTTTAAAAGCTCCCAGGGTGATTCTAATGCGCAGCCAGGGTTGAGAATCGCCGGGTTAGCATTGTCTGTCTATTGATTTAATTCATTAATTGAGACTTTGTCCTTTCCTCTCTGATACTCATGGTTCATTACCCAGCCTGTTAACATTTCCTGCCCTGGCTTCACCTCCTGCTATTTACATTTGACTCTCTTAACTTTGCTGCCCCCTGTGGCTTAGCTACTTTACTGAAGGGGAGATAATGCTGTTAGATTCTGGAGTTTTAGGTATGATGGGATGATTCTATTGGTTTGTTGTCGTTATCATAATTAAAGCCCAACTATTATTTGATGCCAGGTGGTCAATTTTCTTTTCTCTGTGATTTTTGGAGCTGGCAAGCAAAATCGAGAACGTATGAAAGAGGTTTGTCCAATTTTAATCTCATCATTCAGCATAACAAGTAGAAATGATTCCAACCACTTTTGGATGTAAAACTAGTTTCCGCTGTATGCTTACAACAGTGTTCTGTTTCTTGAAGATCTAGGCCTGCTAATATCATTCTATATGATACTGAACAAAGGACTATTCTTGAACCTTACAGCATTTTTGGTCATGCCTTATTTTTATTTCACATCAAGAAATGTTTTTCTCCAGAGTGTTTTCATGGCCATCATCTAACTTAATCTTGACCACAGCTTTTTATCGAAGGTAGGGCAGTGAGAACTCAGGGTTGCTTATATTCCATATTTCTATTTTGTCTTTGTCTTTTCTGGTATCAGTTTGAGTAATACTTGTGTTTATTGATTTGTTGTTTTGGATGGATGTTCAGTTGTTATGTTGTGATGCTCTCTCTCCGGAATGAGATGGTGAATTTTTTTGTGAAAGCAGAAGTCATCATCTGTTTTTTCAAGTCCCGTTACGGTACCAAATACGGTATTTTGTGCATAACAAATGTGGTCATAGAGACAGAATCAGTGTTTTGATGAATAAATTATCTATTGTTTGTCTTCTAGTATCCCCTTCCCCTTTATTGATTGTGTTTCTTTTAGTGATGTTTGGTGCTATCTACCAAAGATTTATTCTCTTCTGTTTTGTTTTTTGGTTTTCCTTATTTTTTTGAGACAGGGTCTTGCCCTATCACCCAGGCTGAAATGTAGTAACACAATTATAACTCACTGCAGCCTAAAACTTCTGGGCTCAAGCGATTCTCCTAAGTAGCTAGGACTACGGGTATGCGCTGCCACACCCAGCTAAGTTTTTTATTTTTATACAGACAGGTTCTCGCTGTGTTGCCCTGACTGGTCTTGAATTCTTGGCCTCATGTGATCCTCCGTCTTTGGCCCTGCAAAAGCTGGGATTACAGGTGTGAATCACTGCCTCACCCAGTTTTTTGATTTTAATATATTATGCCTAAAACTGGTTCAGGATTATTTAAAAGCAGGGGTATCCAAGGGAGAGCATATTGTCATGGGTTCTTAGTTTCTGTTTTTGGTTGTGCCAGTGAAGCCCCTACCTCGTTCCTCTTTTCTGCTATTCACTAGAGACAGAAACTGAAAAACCATGGCTTCAGGCTGCCAAAAGCCTAAAACAAAATGAAACAGAACAACAACAACACAAAAATAAGGTGGGTTGGACATGCTTGATTTAAAGTAAATGAATTCTGGGTCCTTAATACCTTAGCAATAAATAGTAAATGTAGGTTTAAAACAAAAGATTATTTGTATTTTGCCAATAACCAGTATGAATGACGTGAAACATTATTGATAGGTTTGTTGCTAGGAAAGTTACTATATAAGATTCTTGAGGAAAAGTAATATACTGGGTTGACTCCTAGACATGGACATGTGTATATGAAATTACTGAAATAATTTGTGTGTAGTAATCTCTGAGTTTGAGATACAATATTTATAAGGATGTCCTGGAAGGAGGTGAAAGGAACAGATTTAAAATATATAATAAACTTCGAGTATATTATTATGTAACAAGGAATCTAAATATTTTCCTGAAAGACGTGACAGACTGGGATTATGCAAAATAAACTCCACTTTTCTGAGCAGGATATTGACTAATAAGCAGTTTCAAGCCTAGTTTTTGTCTGTCTTTTTGAACTCTTATCTGAAGGATTTTATTTATGTGGGCCTTTTAAGTGAATAATGAAGAATTTTAGAAATCCTATAATTTTGATTGGTTTTCCTGAAGAAACATACTGAGATTTTTTTTTTTTTTTTTTTTTTTGGGAATGGGGTAGGGGGGAGGTAGAGGGGTGGTAATCTAACTTGCATACTGAAGACAAGGGGTTTCTTAGATACGCACTCCTCCTACTGGAATGGTGATGCAATTTGTAGCTACCATAACCTTACTATGATGTTATATCTAGTTGAGCTTTCCAGTGCTGAATGGGATCTCAGAAGTCATTCTGGTTTAGCCTCCATTGGGAATTGATTTCACTTTTGTTATTCTAAATAAGTATCTTGCCATTAAATCAGAGAAGTTTTCTTTAAGGTGGGGAGGAAAGTACAGGGTTTTAAAACGCTTATTCCCTCTGGTTTTGCTTAATGAATAAACTGTTTAGATAATAGCTAAAAGAGGTTAAATATCTGAAACAAAAATTTTTAAATGGCTTAGAACTTGCAGTTCAGTAGTATCAAATCTAAAATACAGCTTCAAAAATTGTGTATTTTTTTCAGCAGAATGCAGATTTTTAAAAATTATATATTTTGTCTAATTGGTTTTGCCTTCATTTCACATTGTGTCAAGGATATTCCACAATTATAGCTATTACCTTAAGTCAATGATTATTTGAACTCATTGTTAATCCCCTGCCTCTAAATTGATAAGTGAAAAAAATGAGCCAGTTTTTGTTATAACTCCTGAATTTTGATTAGCAAAATTGGGAGATTTTTAAAACATAACTTTTCAGATGGACTTTAAAATATATATCTATCTCTATTGAAGTTAAAAGTAAAATGAGACATAACTTCTGTAGGAATATATATCTGATTTTATTAAAACAACAAAAAACTTGTACTACCGTTCTTTAAATTGGACAGAGGCAAAAGATTTTGTTTGTTTGCTGTGAAATTAGACACATACTTTATTTTCAAAAATCTAGTACTGAAACCTTTTCCTCTCTTTGGTTTTCCATAGTGCATAAAATTTTGGCGAAAAAGAAAATTTTGGTGAACCGCTGCAGAGATTAAAACTTGATAAAGTGAATAAAATGATGAGTGTTTTTTCTTTTCAATTTCATGTCTTTAGGAGTTTATAGTTGGTGGCAAATACAGATTTCTAAGTAGGCAGTTTCAAATAGCGTGATAAGTGTCATGATAAGAGTAAGTTCTAAAACGTTAAGGGAGTATGTGAAGGACTCGACCCTGTTTTGGTATGGGAGGGGAGAGATCAAGGAAAGTTCCCTGGAGAAAGTGACAGGTAAACGGCCACCTAAAAGGCCAGAAGGTGTTAGACCAATATAGGAGACGTCCACCCAAAGGATAGTATATGCAGACCCAGAGCTAAGTAAGCATAGTATATTTTGGGAATTACCAGCAGTTTACATAACTGTGATATAGAATATAGGTTATATTCTATATCTCTGTGTGATATACTCTATATCACTAGAGAAGTGGAACATTTAGGGTCTAGTGCATAGTCTTGTTGCTGTGTTGTTGCTATGTTGGAGAATGGATGTAGGCATTTTATTGCATTCATACTTTACAGCACCATGAAGAGTGTATTGGGAAATGATTAGTGAGGATACTGACACAGTAATCAAGACAAGAGATGAAGGTGCTTTCCCAAGTGAAGATGGGGTGGTATCACAGGCAAGACCTGGTGAGAGGGAACAATCAATGATGATACATGATACATTTCTCTCTTTTTTTTTTTAGAGTCTTGCTCTGTCACCAGGCTGGAGTGCAGTGACGCAATCTTGGTTCACTGCAGCCTCCACCTCCTGGGTTCAGGTGATTCTTCTGCCTCAGCCTCCTGAGTAGCTAGTGCTACAGGTGCCTACCACCACACCCAGCCAATTTTTGTATTTTTTGGTAGAGATGGGGTTTCACCACATTGACCAGGACGGTCTCAATCTCCTGAACTCGTGATCGGCCCGCCTCAGCCTCCCAAAGTGCTGGGATTACAGGCGTGAGCCACCGCACCTGGCCGATGATACATTTCTAACTTGGGCAACTGGATGTATGATAGCAGCTTATTGAAAGAGAAAAATGGAGACATTAGATTTGGGAGGAGAAGATAATGGTACTTTGTTGATCAGGGCGAAGTGTCTGTGGGAAGCTGAAGTGAAGCTGCCTAGTAGGAAGGTGGATTATTTGGATATGGAGCAATGTGCTGGAGATAATTTGAGAGTCTTTGGCTTATACGTGGCATTTGAAACCATGCAAATAGAAGCGACTGCCCACTGAAAATGGATAGAACGAGAAGACGCAAAGAAATACCAACATTGGGATAATGGGTAAGGTAAAAAGATATAACCAAGAGTCAAGAGAGACAGCTGGAGTGGAGGCCAAAGAAGACAGGAAAGAGTGAAGACGAGGCTGTCAGGGGAAGAAAGTCTTTACAAACTGGGGGATAGGTTGGGAAAGTAGTAACAGTGGAGAACTGTGGTCAAGTCCAATAAGAACTGAAAAGTTTGCCGGGTGTGGTGGCACGTGCCTGTAGTCCCAGCTACTCGGGAGGCTGAGGTGGGAGGATTGCTTGAGCCCAGGAGTTCTGGGCTGTAGAGCGCTATTCGAATCCCGGTGTCCGCACTAAATTCGGCAACAATATGGTGACCTCCAGGGAGCCGGGAACCACGAGGTTGCCTAAGGAAGGGTGAACCGGTCGGAAACGGAGCAGGTCAAAACTCCTGTGCTGATCAGTAGTGGGAATCCTGTGAATAGCCACTGCACTCCAGCCTGGGCAACATAGCGAGACCCCGTCTCTTACTAAAAAAAAAAAAAAAAGAAGAAGAAAAAAAAAGAACTGAAAAGTTTCCATGGATTTGTTAGTCTTTAGACAACATTGGTGACTTGAGAGATGTTTGGAGGACTGATAACTTGAAATTAGATTTTGTAAGGTGGATGGTGAGTGGAAATTGTAAAAGCTGAATGAGTAAGTATGGACAACTGTTTCAGAAAGTTTGGCAGTTTAAAATTACTATAACTACTGTATAGAGAATGCATTGTAGCAGAATATGATTTTTTTTTTTTGAGACGGAGTTTTACTTTTGTTGCCCAGGCTGGAGTGCAATGGTGTAATCTCGGCTTACCACAACCTCTGCCTCTCAGGTTCAAGCGATTCTCCTGCCTCAGTCTCCTGAGGAGCTGGTATTACAGGCATGCACCACCATGCCCAGCTAATTTTGTATTTTTAGTAGAGACAGGGTTTCTCCATGTTGGTCAGGCTGGTCTCGAACTCTCAGCCTCAGGTGATCTGCTGACCTCGGCCTTCCAAAGTGCTGGGGTTATAGGCATGAGCCACTGTGCCCTGCTAGAACAAGATTTTTTAGAAGGAGGCGCTGGGCGTGGTGGCATGCGCCTGGAATCCCAGCTATTCAGGAGGCTGAGGCTGGAGGATTGCTTGAGTCCAGGAGTTCTCGGCTGTAGTGCGCTATGCTGATCCGGTGTCCGCACTAAGTTTGGCATTAATATGGTGACCTCCCGGGAGCAGGGGACCACCAGGTTGCTTAAGGGGGTGACCAGCCCAGCTCCGGAAATGGAGCAGGTCAAAACTCCCATGTTGATCAGTAGTGGGATCGCACCTGTGAATAGCCACTGCACTCCAGCCAGGGCAACATAGTGAGACCCTGTCTCTTAAAAAAAAATTAAAAAATTTTTTAAAAATACAAAAAAAAAAAAAAATAGGAGGGGAGGACAAGTTAGGAGATTAATAAGTTAGGTAAGACATGTGACTTGGGCTAGGGTAGTAGCCCAAGATGGAGAGAAAAAGATGCATTTGAGATATATCTTAGATAGGACCTTGTTAATGAATTGTTTGGGAGGAAATGGAAAGGCAGAGGTGTAGGAGTCAAGGAAGACTTTTAGATGTTTTAGCTTGGACACCTGGGTGGGTAGGAATGTGTCCCACCACTAAGAAAGGAGTACACTGGAGGAGGAACCAGGTATAGAGGGAAAATCCAGAGTAGTATTTTGGAAATTTTAAATTTGAGATGCTGTTTAGAAACCCATTTATAAATGTCAAATAGACCATTGCATATGTGAATCAAAGAGTGCCCATTTGGTAATTTCTGTGACTTCTAAACATTAACTATATTCTTTATATTAACTTTTAATGGCCTGCCAAGGCTTTCAAATTTGCTTATAAGAAGACGTGGATAGCTTGGGTTGCTGGCCACTTAGTCTCCTGGTTAAATTGGGATTATCTATTCCCTACTCAATAGAATGTGTTCTGTGTACACTGCATGACAAGATGTCATTAGTACGTGCATGAAGGAGATCACAAAATATGCTGGGACGAGTGCATGAATAAGGTTAAAGTGCCTGTTTTTTTGTCTTTAGACTATAAGTTAAATGTTTTGAGACCCAAGAGACATATCTTCCTACATAGCATTTAGATAGTCAGTTCTGTTTTATATTTATTGAATGAAAGAATGAAGCAAAAGCTATTAAATTGAAAAAAAAACATTTTATATCATACAATAATTTACAACTTTAGGGTGATTTATAACTGAGTAACGTTTACCTGCAACACTAAACTGGTTAGCATTTTATAGATGAAAAAACCAAAATCTAGGTAGGTTATATTGTTGTGCTGGTCGTGTATGACTTGCTCTTCTCAGTTGGTTGCTGATTCCTCTATTAAATGGAAGATGTTTGTTGCCTGCACTGAAGCAAAGTTGAGTACCTTATTTCCTTAAACTGTAACAGAGAAATATTTATAATTGAGAGAAATGTTTCTTTTTGATAACTTAAAAATGAGATTTTCATAAGGTGAAGAGTGAGTGGAAATTGTAAAAGCTGAATGAGTAAGTCTTTAGACTCTAGTCTTTAGTGTAACTAAAGTCTTTAGACCTAGTCTAACTATAGTCTTTAGACCTAGACCTATAAATCTATAGACTCTAGTCTTTAGACCTTAGACTACAGTGTAGTCTTTAGATTATAGGTGCTGGGCAAGTAAGCCAGTATTGAACATAGATTTTTCTAAGACCCGTTAAAGCAAGGAATCTTTGTTTCTTAAATTTCTTCTGATATAAAAATGCTTCATTGATCGTCTTTGAGGTCTTCTTTTGAGCACTGTCCTCTCTCTCCTTTTTAGGTAACCTAAAATTTTTCTGGGGAAAAAAAAAAAAAAAAAAAAAGAGAGCATTTGTTTTATGAATGAGTAGTGAGAAACAAGATGAAGTGAATTGTTAATCATTCAGCACATTTGTGTCACAGCTAGATTTTGGAGTCACTACTCAAAGTTATAATGATCTATAATTAGCATGAAGAAATTGTAGATTATCAAGAACTGATTAGAATCTGTCTACTTATTTTTGCCTCTCTTTTGGAAATGTTGGGTATATTCTGGCCCCCTTTTACACAAAGTTTTTGGAAAGTTTTAAAAATACTATTTCACATTAGCATAGTACTATCTTTCTGATCATTTTTTCTCAATCTGAGAAAAGGAAAAAAGGTCAAGATAATGGAGACTTGGATGTAAAAGTCAATTGGGCTAATACATCTACCACTTGACTGATTTTATTCTTCCACTAAAACTTCCAGACAAGCTGAAATTAGAGTTAGATGTCATCTCCTTAAATAGTTTTCCACATGCATTTGTGCTTGCAGTGAGTGAATGAACCAACCTAATTTTGAATCCAGAGTGAACATAAAGTAGCATATATAACAATGAAGTGCTTTTAAGATAGATTTGTTTACCATAGCCATATTTCCTTCATGAGACTTTTTTTTTTTTTTTTTTTTTTTTTTTGTGATACATGGTCTCGCTTTGTCTCACAGCCTGGAGTGCAGTGATGCGATCTATGCTCACTGCAACCTCTGCCTCCTGGGTTCAAGCAATTCTCTTGCCTCAGCCTCCTGAGAAGCTGGGATTACAGGCACCCACCACCACAATCACCTAATTTTTGTATTTTTAGTAGAGACAGGGTTTCGCCATGTTGGCCAGGCCGATCTTGAACTCATGATCTCTAGTGATCCGGCTGCCTTGGCCTCCTAAAGTGCAGGGCTTACAGGAGTGAGCTGCCGTGGCTGGCCCCTAAGAAATTTTGATTATTCATGTAGGAAAGGGAAAAATACACCTAGCTCCTGTGTATCTAGTCACTGGTTTTGGTATTTACCTATTTTGATAATCTGTTTTTAATTTGGATCACCTGGATACTCTCTGTATATTTTTAAGAACTAATTCTTTTTAAGATGTAGAGAAGTAAGTTCTTCTATAGAACAGGAATTACTATTTTAGGTTATAATACAATACTTGGTGTGAGTCATAAGCTAATCTCAGTTTTCATGGTTTTCTAAATTAAACTCATTTAAAGAATGTGTAATGAGAAGTGTCATATTTTAAACTACCCCATTTTATTATTATTTTTATAAAAACTTATGGACTTACTGTTAACACAACTCAAAGGACAATCTTATAATGGTAGAAAGTAAAAATTCCCACCTAGAGGAAATCTCTCTTAAATCTTGCGCATCTTCCTGTATTTTCTCATCAGTGGGATCATACTATGTATGCTATTCTGTAGCCTATTATTTTCACTTAATAGAATAGCAAATTTCAGCATGAAAAATATTAGAATCAATTTAGAATTGTTTCTGGATAAACTTTTTCTTTTTTACTGAACCAACTCATTTGAAACCTTGGTGATAAGTTTCTTATATTTCAAAGGAAGGAAATAATTTCTAGGAGTACAAATATTTAATTTCATGGAGATTATATGTGGATCTCTTGGAAAATTTAATTTAAGGAATTGCCATTTTAAAATATATATATTTTATATAATTTCCAGGGTTCTTGGATTTCCCCACAACCACCATCCCAAAGCCCATCTGTGATAATGGTAGAAAGAAGTGGGATGTCTGTAGAGTGTAGATCCTGCTTCTAGAGACTTGAACACCTTGTTTTTGTTTGTTTGAGACAGAGTCTTACTCTGTTGCCCAGGCTAGGGTGCAGTGGTGTGATCTTGGCTCACTGCAACTTCTGCCTCTTGAGTTCAAGCAATTCTCCTGTCTCAGCCTCCTGAGTAGCTGGGATTACAGGTGTGAGCCACTATGCCTGGCTAATTTTTGTATTTTTAGTAGAGACAGGGTTTTGCCATGTGGACCAGGCAGGTCTCAAACTCTGGCCTCAAGTGATCTGCCCTCCTCAGCCCCGCAAAGTGCTGGGATTACAGGCGTGATCCACCATGCTCGGCCCAGTTAATTTTTTTGAAATAAAAAATAGCAGTAATAACGTATATACTTATATTTGAATGACAATTGATTAAAGCATGAACATATTTATGTTCTTGAAAGTTTTAGTATTGTAGGGCTTTTCTTAAAATAATACATTTATATATTAGAACATTCTCAAACTTGTAGTATGTATGTATTCAAATTTCTTAAAATTGTTGTCTTCAATTTTTTCCCACCATTTTCAATTTTAATGAAATCACAGAATCTTAATAAGTCATATTTAGTCACAGTGCTATGAATCATTTGTTAATAAACGTTTCCATTGTTACTTTATATGTCTGCTCTCTAAAGTTTCAAATAAAAGCTGATTTTAGATTCTTAGTTATTAATGTTCTAGGGGTATTGCCAAAAAAAGCTACATGTCCTATATTCTGTGCCAGTTTCTTAAATTAGAATCTTGGATTGCATCCTCAGCGTGTCACTGTAGTGGTATTGCTGGGTTGCTATGATACAGTGCTTGTTCTATAATTTGTAGCATGAATCCTATATGAGATCTTACTTTAGATTTCAAGTATGTTAGCAGCAGTAATTAGGGATGTTTTCCCCTAAGGAAAATTACAGCTATGAAATTATTATTTGTTACAAATGATACCTGCTACTTCAAATTATTTATTCTTAAATATAGAGGATTAACATTGAACAACTTGAAATAACTTGGTTGTCACCTCAGAAGTTTAGTTTATCACTGACTTAAGATGGGCAAGAAGAGGAAGGGTTTATGATAATGAACATATTAAGATTTCAGTGTTCTTTTACTTGGTATTTGATATCTTAAGAGAAATGAATATAGACTAGATTTTCTGGGAAGATACATTTGAAGCAGTATGATTAAAACCACATTATAGGGGAAAACTACAAATTATTGTATTACATTAAAAAATGTTTGGTGAACTGTTCTTAAAACCAACCCTCTGTGGCCATCTTAATAAGCTATTATTACTACCTCTTTTTCATTTTAAGTGTTGGTTTTGGGATTTCATTTACATGTTCCTTGAAAATTTTTATTAATTAATTTAGCGTTATAAATCATAGGCACCATAAAGACAAAACTAGTGGATTCTGTGTTGTATACTCTTTGGTGGTGGAATGAAGTTTATGTGATTATTGGTCAGTGGCATTGCTGCAATTGATCTTTAAACTTTTACTGTCTCTCAGCAATGTTTTGGGTATTTGATATGAAAGTATTTTAGAGACCAGAACTAAACTAAATTTTAAAAACAGCTCTATTAAGATATAATTCATATACCATGTAATTCCCCATTTAAAGTATACAATTCCATGGCTTTTAGTACATTCACAGATATATATGTGCAGCTACCACAGTCAATTTTGGAATAGTTTCATCATCTCAAAAAGAAATACCATGTCCTTTAGCTGTCACCCCCTATTCCTTTAGGGATTCCCTAAGCAACCATTAATTTACTTTCCATCTCTAAATTTCCCTATTCTGGACATTTCATGTGAATGGAATAATATAATATGTGGTCTTTCGTAGTTGGCTTCTTTCATTTACTTCGCATAATGTTAAGGATTTTTTCATGTTATAGCATGTGTTAGTGCTTCATTCCTTTTTATGGCTGAATAGTATTCTGTTGTATGATTATACCACATTTTATTTACCCATTCCTCACTTGATAGACATTTTGATTGTTTGTACTGTTCAGTTATGAATAATGCTGCTTTGAACATTTGTATACAAGTTTTTGTGTGGATATACATTTTCATTTCTCTTTTGTATACACGTAGGGGTGGAACTGCTTGGTCATAAGGTAATTCTGGGCTTAGTCACTTGAGAAACTGCCACACTTTTTTCCATAGTGGCTGTACTATTTTACATTCCCACTTGTGGTATATGAGGGTTCTCATCGCTCCACATCCTTACCATTACTTGTTATTTTGACTTTTTGATTATAGCCATCCTAATGGATGTGAAGTAGTATCTCCTTGTGGTTGTGATTTGCATTTCCCCAATGACTGATGTCTCTTTTAACATGCTTAGTGGCCATTTGTATATCTTGGAGAAATGGCCCCTTAGATCCTTTGCCCACTTTTGAATCGTTGTCTTTTTATCATTGAGTTGTAAGAATTCTTTATATATACTTGATATAACTCTCTGTGTCTTTTCACTTTCTTGGTGGTGTCCTTTGAAGTACAAACGTTTCAAATTTTGATTAAGCCTAAATTTTCTTTTTTCTTGTTACTCATGCTTTTGGAGTCATATCTAAGGATCCTTTCCCAAATGTGAGGCTATGAAGATTTACTCCTATGTTTTTTCTCTAAGAATTTTGTAATTTTAACCTTTACATTTAGGTCTTTGGCCATTTTGAGTTAATTTTTATATAGGGTATGACGTAAGGATTCAAATTCATTCTTTTGCATGTAGCTATCACATTTATCTCCTCACCATTTGTTGAAAATACTTCTTTCCCCATTAGATGGTCTTGGCTCTTTTGTTGAAAATTAGCACGTGGTTTTATTTCTGGATTCTCAGTTCTATCCCATTGATCTATATGTCTGTTCTTGTGTCAGTACCACACTGTCTTGATTACTTGTTTTATGTAGTAAGTTTTGAAATGGGATAGCATGAATCTTGCTAGTTTGTTTTTCTTTTTCAGGATTGTTTCAGCCGTTATTGGGTCACTTAAAATTGCAAAGATTAGGTTATTGATTTAAGATCTTTTGTGCTTTCCTGTATAGACATTTATAGCTATATCTTTCCCTTAGAACACGCTTGAGTTTTGGTATGTCTTTATTTTCATTTGTCTCAGCATGTTTTTTATTTTGTTTTAGGTTTCTTCTTTGACCCTTTAGTTATTTAAGAATAATTTAATTCCCACATATTTGTGACTGTCCCAGAAATGTTTTAACTTCTCTTTTCTAAGAGATGAGGGTCTCACTGTGTTGCCCATGCTTCAGTGCAGTGGCTGTTCACAGATGCTGTAATAATACACAGTGGCGGCTAACTCCGGGGCTCAGTGGGATCCTCATTGCCTCAGCATCTCAAGTAACTGAGCCTACAGGTACATGCTACCATGCCCCCCTCTCCTTTTTTTTTTTTTTTTTTTTTTTTGAGACATATCTCACTCTGTTGCCCAGGCTAGAGTGCAGTGGCACGATCTCAGCTCACTGCAACCCCAGCCTCCAGGGTTCAAGCTGTTCTCTTGCCTCAGCGCCTGCTGTAGCTGGGACTACAGGTGCACACCACCATGCCTGGCTAATTTTTCTATTTTTAGTAGAGATGGGGTTTCACCGTGTTGGTCAGGATGGTCTCGATCTCCTGACCTTGTGATCTACCTGCCTCTGCCCCCCAAAGTGAGTGGGTGTAGCTTCCTCCATCTGTGTATATATCAGAAGCCTCTGATCCTCTTCCTCAGAGAGGTGCAGCTTTGAGTATGTCCAGGCACCTTGGGATGACAGTGGTTTTGGCAGGTTCTCTGTCCTTTCCTGACCGTACTTCCAGCTGTTAAGTTCCATTGATTTTCAGCTGATTGCTCAATTGTTTTCAATAATGCTTTGGTGCACACATTGTTCTACAAACTAATCCAATCAAATCCAGGCTCCTTTGAAGGCGTAGTTCCCAAGGTCAGTATGTGATATTTGTTCTAACAACAGGAGGCCTCCATGCTTCTGTTTTTTGTTGTTGTTGTTGTTGTTGTTTGTTTTTGTTTTTTGTCTCTCCTGAACAATAACTGGCCTACAGTTTAGTCTGTATCCTCATTGAATTTACAGATCTCCCCATTATCTTTCGCCAAAACCTCTACTGTTCTTAGAGCACCCTTAGGCTTGAACATTTTTTAAAATGCCCTGTTGTAAAGAAGTCAGTTGTTGTGGTACTTCTCCCCCCAAGCAGAATCTCAAGAGTCAGGGCTCTGAGCTGGGGGTAGGGACAATGGTATGCTTCTCTCTGAAAGCCTGCTTTAGGAGCTGAGCAGTTGGGGGAAGTGGGAGCAGTAATCTGAGGTCTTTTTGGCTTGCCTTCTCCAGTGTGGAATCAATACTTTATGGGCCAGAGCTAAGGTAATTGAGGCCCCAGTAATTTTACCAGTGCTGCACAAAAGGTAGAGCCTCTGTAGCATGTGTGGAGGTTGGGCAGAAGAAAGGAGGCCTGCCTTTCAGATGCACTTGTCTAGAACTTATCCTCAGCAACAATAAGTAGCTGTGGAAAGGATGAGAAATGCCAATGCGTCCTACTCCTTACCTAAAGATGTCTGGGAGCTAGACGTAGTGGGATCCATGTGTCCTTGGCTGCACCTCTTTGAAGTGGAGTTTCTCTGTAGCTGAACCAAGGGGGAAGGAGCTGTCTTGGTTAAAATACAGTCATGTGCTGCATAATGTTGTTTTGGTCCATGACATGGTATATAGGATGGTGGTCCCATAATACTACAATGAAGCTGAAAAATTCCTATCCCCTAGTGATATAGCTTTAACTCATAGCACATAACTCACGTGTTTATGGTGATGCCAGTGTAAATAAACTGACTGCACTGTCATATAAAAGTATAGCACATACAATTATGTGGAATACATAATACTTGATAATAAATGTTACTGGCTTATGTATTTATTATACTATTTTTATTTTATGGTGTACTACTTATTAAAAAAAAAAGTTAGCTGTAAAACAGCCTCAGGCAGATCCTTCAGGAGGTATTCTAGAAGGAGATGTGGAGATATGAAAGACAGTGATGTGGATGATCCTGACCCTGTGTAGGCCTAAGCTAATGTGTGTTTGTGTCTTAGTTTTTAATTAAAAAGTTTAAAAAGTTAAAAAGTCTGAA